CTGCCCCGCGTTTCCGGGGGAGCGCGCCAGGCCGCGCCCGCCGTGGCAGTCGGGCCACGCACGGCGTCCCTCGCCGCGCGAGCCCTGGTGCGACCCCAGCGATCCGGGGTGGACAAACTCGGAAGTCCGCCCGGATTCCTCGGATCGACGCCGGGGCCCCCTGGCGGCGCCTCAAGCGCCGCCCCTGTCGAGCTCCGCGCGCCAGGGAGTGGGGGCCCAGCACCGATCCGAGAGATCTGTGCGGACCATCGAGCTTTTGATGTTTATGTCATCGGTTCCTGGAGATTTCTTTTCTCGGAGGTCTTGCTGGTCTTTCTGAGAAGAGGAAGGGAGTGCGACCACCCAATTTGATACACGAGTCGGCCCCGCCGCTGTGCGATTCAAGAGTTCGCAAGGCAGACGGGGAACCCCACACAATCCGACCTGCAATAGGCAGACTCACGCAGTGAACGATTGAACCTAAGGTTTAGGTTTGAGGATTTTTGCGTTTAGTGTCCACTAACCCCACTTCGAAGCCTGTTGGACGTAATTAATTATCCCACCCACCCGAGAACTATGACATACAGAACTCAACGCGCCGACGTCGATGGCTCAACGCGATGCGACGTGCGCAGCGTTCATGCACCGCTTTGCTGGCCGACGCACGGAAAAGGACCCCGGCGACCAGTGGGTTGCGCTCCGCAGCAGATGGCCGACGCATTGGCGATGCGCAGCGCAGCTTGGCACGTCGCTAGGGACTGAGATTCGCTTCGAAACTGACGCGCTTTCGACCTCAAACGCCTCGAGGAGGGAAGGAGGAGGAGGAGGGAGGAGGTCTCCTCCTCCTCCTCCTCCTCCTCCTCCTCCTCCTCCTCCTCCACGACCCCGTTGGGTCGCGCAATTCGACCTCGAACGCTGTCGGCGGCGAGGGGCGAAGGCTGGTCGAGCCCACACGCAGAGCTCCTGCCGACGCCGGTGCCTGCTGCGCTCGGCCAGGCAGAACTGATCTTGGGACCGCTCTGCCCACGTCGCTCGCCCCTGTCCGCCGCCAAGGAACGCCTGGGAACGCTGGAAGCGCCCGGGAGCGCCTGGAAGCGCCTCGAAGCGCCGTGCAGCGCTTGGGAACGCATGGGGGCGCATCATCATCATCATCATCATCATCATCATCATCATCATCATCATCATCATCATCATCATCATCATCATCATCATCATCATCATCATCATCATCATCATCATCATCATCATCATCATCATCATCATCATCATCATCATCATCATTGTATCGAGCGGGGAGCTCCAGACCTTCTTGGATGCGTGGATCATCATCATCATCATCATCATCATCATCATCATCATCATCAGCATCAGCATTAGCATCAGCATCGTCATCAGCATCAGCATCATCAGCATCAGCATCATCATCATCATCGTCATCATCGTCATCAGCATCATCATCGTCATCATCATCATCATGATCATCATCATCATCGTCATCAACATCATCGTCATCATAGTCATCATCATCATCATCATCATCGTCATCAACATCATCGTCATCATGATCATCATCATCATCCTCATCCTGATTGGCATCATCACCATCGTCATCATCATCATCATCACAATGATAATTGCCATCATCATCGTCAGCATCGTCATCATCATCATCACCATCGTCGTCATTATCGTCATCATCGTCGTCATGATCGTCATCCTCATCATCGTCATCATCGTCATCATCACCATCGTCATCAGCATAAACGTCATCATAGTCATCATCCTCATCCCCATCATCATCGTCATCCTCATCGTCATCATCATCGTCATCATCATCGTCATCATCATCGTCAGCATTCTCATCATCATCATCATCATCATCATGTCAGCCAGCGTTGACTCCTAATAGATAGATGGGAAGGGGAAGAGCGAGACAAGGAGAAGACGAGGAGGAGTGGACCGGAGAAGAGGATTCCAAGCATGACATGGCAAGCAAAAAGAAGCGAGCTAAAAGCAGCGAGCAGCCATGCAAGGACGGAGAGCCACAGGGGTAAGCTTGGGCAAATCAGGGGGGGGAGTGGGGGGTGGAAAATGGTGACGATGTGGAAAATGGTTACGACGATAGCTGACGATGGTGATTGTGACGGCGAAGGCATTGATGGCGATAACACGGGAGCCTTTTTGTGCAGGATCGCGGATTTGCGGGGTGCCATTGGAAATCAAGGGGGGGGGGGCATTGGCAAAAAGGGGGGGGGGTGCCATTGGAAATAAAGGGGGGGGGCCATTGGGAAAGGGGGGGGCTGGAGACCACTTACATCTGGTGGGCTAGGACTTCTATAGGGCAAGCCTATGTGGAGAATCATCGAATCATCACCATCAGCATCGCCATCATCATCTTCAGTGTCGTCATCATCATCAACACCATCATCATCATCATCATCATCATCATCATCATCATCATCATCATCTTCATCTTCAGCATCGTCATAATCATCATCGTGGACATCTTCATCATCATCGTCATCCTCATATAATCCTCATCCTCATCCTCATAAACACCGTAATCATCATCATGTTAATCAGCATCGTCATCATCATGCTCATCGTCATCATCACCGTCAGCGTCGCCATCATCATCGTCAGCATCGTCATCGCCGTCGTCATCATCCTCATCATCATCGTCGCCATCATCGTCATCATCTTCATCATCGTAATCACCATCATCGTGATCAGAATCAGCATCATCACCATCATCATCGCCATTCTCACCATCGTCATCATCGTCATCATCATCATCCGCGTCCTCATCATCATAGTCAGCCACATCTTCATCCGCATCATCACCGTCATCATCATTTCCATCATCATCATCGTCATCATCGTCATCATCATCACCATCATCATCGCCATCATAATATTCAGCATCGCCATCATACTCGTCAGCATCATCATGACCATCATCATCGTCATCACCATCGTCATCATCATCGTAATCATCACCATCAGCATCACCGTCATCATTGTCAGCATCGTCATCACCATCGTCATCATCATCGTCATCATCATCACCATCATCATTGTCATCAGCATCGTCATCATCTTCATCATCACTGTCATCATTATCATCGTCATCAAAATCAGCCTCATCACCATCATCACCGTTATCATCACCATCGTCATCATCGTCTCCATTATCGTCATCATCGTCATCATCGTCATCCTCAACATCATGGGCATCCTCATCCCCATCGTCATCATCACCATCACCGTCATCACCATCACCAACATCATCACCGTCATCACCACCTCAGCATCATCTTCATCATCATCGTCATCATCACACGCAGCATCAGCATCATCACCATCATCATCGGCATCATCACCATCGTCATCATCGTCATCATCACCATCGTCATATTAGTCATCATCGTCATCATCGTCATCATCATCATCATTATCATCCTCATCCTCATCGTCGTCATCATCATCGTCATCGTCATCAGCATCATCATGGTCATCATCACCATCATCATCGCCATCATCATCGTCAACCAGCGTCGTCATCATCATCATCATCGTCATCATCATCACCGTCAGCATCGTCATCATCATCAAAATCATCATCAAACTCAACATCATCACCATCAGCATCTTCATCATCACAATCGTCATCATCATCATCGTCGTAATACTCATCATCGTCATCGTCATCCTCATCATCATCCTCAATATCATTCTCATCCTCATCCTCATCCTCCTCGTCATCATAATCAGCATCATCGGCATCATCATCACCATCATCATCGTCATCATCGTCATCATAATCAGCATCATCACCATCAGCATCGTCCTCATCACCATCGTCACCATCGTCATCATCCTCATCACCATCATCATCATCATCATCATCCTCATCCTCATATGCATCCCCATCGTCATCATCATCATCATCATCGTCATCAGCATCGTAATCCCTATCATCATCACCATCATCGTCGTCATCATCATCGTCAGCATCGTCATCATCATCGTCATCATCACCATCATCATCGTCGTCATCATCATCATCATCTTCATAATCACCATCATCATCGTCATCAAAAACAGCATAGCATCATTACCATCATCATCGTCATCATCACCACCGTCATCGTCGTCATCATCATCGTCACCAAGTCATCATCGTCATCCTCATCATCATCGTCATCGTCATCATCATCCTCGTCCTGATCCTTATCGTCATCATCATCGTCATCATATTCATCATCGTCATCGTCATCATCATCATCATCATCATCATCATCATCATCATCCTGATCCTCATCCTCATCTTTACCATCATCATCATCATCGTCATCATCGTCATCATCGTCATCATCGTCACCATCAGCATCGCCATCATCGTCGTCAGCATCCTCATTATCATCGTCACCATCATCACCATCATCATCGTCATCATCATCGACATCATCATCGTCATCAAAATCAGCATCATCACCATCATCATCGTCATCATCACCATCGTCATCATCATCGTCATCTTCATCATCCACGTCCTCATCAATCGTCATCCTCGTCATCATCCCTATCGGCATCAGCATCGTCATCATCACCATCATCATCGTCAGCATCGTCATCGTCAGCATCGTCATCATCATTGTCATCATCATCACCATCATCAGCGTCATCAGCATCGTCATCATCTTCATAATCATGATCATTATCCAAATCAGAATCATCAGCATCATCGTCGTCGTCATCATCACCATCATCATCGTCATTATCATAGTCATCAGAATCAGCATCATCACCATCATCATCGTCATCATCACCATCGTCACCATCATCATCATCACCACCTTCCTCATCATCATCGTCATCCTCATCACCATCGTCGTCGTCATCGTCGTCATCACCATCGTCGTCATCGTCGTCGTCATCACCATCGTCGTCATCGCACCATCATCGTCGTCATCATCACCATCGTCATCATCGTCATCATCATCCTCATCCTCATCCTA